TACGGGAATCTCGGTGTGTAGTCATTGTTGTTGTGTGTGTTTTTTTCACCATTAACTATACATTTTCAATCAAACTATGCATTTGTGAAGGCAGGAAGTGTATCGACCCAAATGTGCAGGTTTCGTTTTAATATTCTGCAATCCATTTTTAGTATTACCCGGTGGCCCGGCCCGGCCCGACTTTTCTTGGCCCGACTTTTAGGCCATAAAGTTCATTTTACGTCTTGGTATATGAACACTGAACAAGCACATCACATGTGACCCGTGAAGATCAGGGTTAGAATTGATCTTCAGTAACCCATGCCTGTTGTAAGAGGCGACTAACGGGATCGGGTGGTCAGGCTCGCTGTCTAGTTTGACACATGTCATCTTATCCCAATTGCGTAGATCGATACTCATGTTGTTGGTCACTGGATTGTCTGGTCCAGACTCGATTATTTACAGACCGCCGCCGTATAGCTGGAATATTGCTGAGTACGACGTAAAACTAAACTCACATCACACGTTAACGTTTGGAGAATGTCGGTTGAAGACCTTGGTGTTAGGGGCACACATTCGTTATTTCATGCTAATGATACGAGTATTAACCCTATAGCTGCACCGATATCTACCTGTGCTCCTTGCTACCATACATCAGTTCTTGACCTCTGGGCTGAATAGCTGCCCAGCACCCACCATCAGGAGGATGACGCGTGTGGCCGATCGCTTCACTTCAGGTGTATCTTGATTACTTACAACAAATGAGCTGGCATCTTGCTGACTGTGGTGGGAGACTACAGACTATTATCCACTTTGGGCTCACAACAGTTCTGTAGTTAGTGGAACAACTTCACCGTCGTCGCATGGTGGTGGGTGGGGATCGATGTGATTTCCACCTTTTGTGTTGTTTTGTTGTGAACAGACAGGTGGACTGACTTAAGATGACGCCATGTGACGGGAAAGGGTAGTTTATGTTGTGGGTAGATTGAAGATTGAATCTGTTTCTTGAACCATGAAATGAAATTATAGTAAAACAATTCTTCATGCAGTTTCACAAGATAAAATTGCTTTCCGACGTCCTCTTTGAAACCCCAAAGAGTCATCGAAGCTAACCTTAGTGTGCATATTATCAATCAGTTTGATCCATTCTTAAACGTGTCTGGTTTAGCAGAATATAGGAAATGCCGCACTAAGCTATATCTGAAAGTATCTGCATGAAACTGTGAGGTATAGTGAACTGAAGGGTAAAATATAGTAAAGAGGTATCGTAATCATCGATTCACATAATCGGGTATGGTCACTTGAAATGAACCGTGTCGCCGAGCCAGATCAGCTAGTCCATCCACTCACATGTCTAGACCAGAGTGCCGTGCCACTAACCGATCTTATCTAAGATCAATCTGGCAAGTTACGCCAATTTTACAATCGTCTTAGCTAAAAATTACACCCGTTCCACTAACCGATCTTAGGCCGGTCGTAATGTCAGGCTAAGATTGGGATTTTAGGGGTTTACGGTTGGCGTAGGGCTAAGATCGGTTAGTGGAGCGGCACCCAGCACTGCTTGCTGGGGTTTTATAGTCTCACCTAGGATCCACAAGGGGTTGTGTGAAGGCTATGACGTATGAGTAATATCCTTTGACATAAGAAGTAATGTGAATCAAAACTATGATGTATAAATAATCTAAAAACAATGCTGGGTAATAATGTGAAGAATAAGACGAGTAAATATTATGAAGACTATAACGTGCAAATATTGTGAAGACTATAACTTGTAAAAATTGTTAAGACTATAACACGTATATATTGTGAAGACTATAACATGTAAATATTGTGAAGACTATAAAATGTAAATATTGTGAAGACTATAACATGTAAATACTGTAAAGACTATAACGTGTAAATACTGTAAAGACTATAACGTGTTTAAATATTGTTAAGACTATTATGTGTAAATATTGTAAAGACTATAAGGTGTAAATTTTGTTAAGGCTATAACGTGTAAATATTGTAAAGACTATAAGATATTTAAATATTGTAAAGACTATAACGTAGATCTCCACTTATTTCAAACAGATTCGTTGTACGTTTATTGATCTCATATTTTCTTCTTTCGATGTTTTGGTGCAGATACTAACACTGTTATCAAGTAATGTACAGACATGTGAAGTAGGAACGTTATGGGCCCGGGAATACACAGAAGGTATTCAAGCTGAATGATGGAGCTATGTGATAATACATCAATATACACGGTCTTATAATTACATCACTTCCACGGACAACACACATTGACGGACACTTGTGGACAAAGGAGAGCAATAAGCTATCAATGGACAGTGATGACTGGACATAAATGCCAAGTCAATGTTGGTGAGCCAGCAACAGGGTCACCACCACACAGGAGAGTATTGTTTACAGCTTATATACGTTGTCTGACAGTTCATTTACATAATGTGTCATTATAACGCCGCAACCTATATATTGTACAGCGTATTCTCAACAGGCCTTCTGAAAAATGCACGGTTTTTTTCAAAAGCCTTTGTGCGCTTATAAAACTGCTATAGCGCTATCTCGACATTTAAGTATGCTCACAGCTCCTACAGTCATATAAATTGAAAAATACAAGGAATACGAGACATATGTTCCACATTCAGTTTTGAGATGTCCATAAATCTGATGTATTTTAAACATTAATTATCAAACTATTGATATACTGCATGATTTACAGATATAACAAATGCGATTTATTTATATTGCTAAAGTATTTTAGATACCTCAAATTCGAAATGCATTATTATTATTTTAATACATGTATGTCACCTTTAGGTCATTGAAACAAAAGTCTCGCTGAAAATCACAGTACAGGAACTGATTAAATTGTATGTGTTTACACTGGAATTATTTATTAGAAGGTGTTGAATTATACAAAATAGATTTAAAGAATTAATGCTGTGTCACTGAGCTTGATATGACATTCTCGTAATATACATTTCTCACTCCCCTTGTCTTCAGTCTAGAAATACATTTTGTGAATATCAATAAATCATCTTATTTATTTCCAAAAATCGATTTTTGTCCATCAGTTAATCTGTTTATGTCTAAAAGTGAATTTAAGATGATTAAATATAGACAGTTACCAAAATATTTAAGTAACTGAATCAAGAGTGAACCCCATGATTATATTTAATGTGAAAACGGAGTGGACTGAGCAGTTGGCTTGGAAATGTTCTTGACAACCATGAAGCAGGTGACCTCGGACGGGATTTGCAAGACATACCAGATTTGTTCATCCAAACGCTCAAAGACACTTTGTAAAACACACAGATCTAATCAATAGAAACGTAACAGCTTGGTCATGCGACGTGTGTTACTTGCTCAACATCTTCGTGCCCCGGGCATGTTGCAGTGGGCACACGTCAGATTATTGTTTCCCAAACACTGCTAGTTTCTCAGTCTGTCATCAGCAGATTCTATCGACGCCGCTCTGCCAAATGGCAGCAACTACCAACTCAGGACAAAGTAGTCAGAACGACGACATTAAGAAATCGGTTGCAGACCGTCTGTCAGATAAGGGATTGGTTGTAACAGGAAACCGGTGAAAGAGTACATGTCCAGACGGCGCAAAAACATATGCACAGAACAGATGGCATCGGCATGACGTTCCCGTGCAATCCCACAACTTACTGCAAGTCTTTGGAATCAGAGGCGTCAATGGTGTCGGTCACATCAGCGCGAGGCTAAGGACTTGTCGCCTGTCGCCTGCTATTTGTCGGTGAATCTATATAAACTGTCATGAACGAAGTGGGTAAATACCTAACTGGTATTCTTTCAGATCGGGACCAAAGCACGTATACATGAGACAAACCTGCAATAAAATCAGGTGTGCGGTTAGATTCATTCGTCATCCACTGGTCCCTCTGGTGACATTGGTTGGTGTACCGTTCACATCTATGTTAATTTATGTTCCCCTTGCCCCTCGGGTAACTGATATATCATGACCTGTATCTCTCTTAGATGTCCCATGACGTAATGGGTGTCAAGAAATAGAATATGTTATAGAAATAGAATAATTACCCCAGTAACCAACCCCAATACAGTAAGCGACACACGTGCCGCATAGCCTGGAACCACCCCTTGAACCTGATTGGTTGATACCCCCTTAACTGCTGCCAGCGCTCCTCTTTGGTATTGTTACAACAATCTGTCTCCGTGAGGTAAGCTTTCTATGACTATTTCCGATTACTTGCGACTCAACCGAGATTAAGCTTCATGTAAATATGTTCTTACCATTTTCTTATCTCTCTGAGAATCACTCTTGGTATGAAGACGTATGTGCTCTGTTTTGAGGCAATTGTGTTATTAGGTATGTACACCTGAAACATTTTTCCCCAAAATGATAATGTCAGATTCGGCAACTCCAAACTGGGATGTCTTGTGTCATCACTAATTGTCATTGATCCATTTAATGTAATTGTTTGTCCCCAGCTTTTCTTTCATGCTCAGTGGAATCGGTTTGGTCAAACAGTCGAGAGTATCGTGTTCACCAGTCTATATTCGTTTTATTTGTCTGTTTCTAAGAATATTGATTGACTTCTAAAAATTGTACTGGCTTTCCTTATTCCATTTTTGTGAAAGCTACCTCTGGCCAGTTTGCATCTTTGGCCAGGGAAAAGTTATGTCTCCCCCATCGAGGCTAGTGCCATCGATTCATGTTTCTTAATTGGCCGTTCTGTGACTCTTGTCTCTGATGCATTAATGCTTTTATTTTTTTTCCTGTAAAAATGACCTATAAATTATGTCCATATCTTATGTGCTCATTTCTCCGTTACAGTATTTCAACTGAGCAAACGATTTGTAATGATGTTAGCTTTAGCTGTGTGAAGTTGCCGTAAACGACATGGCTTATGAATACATTTTTGACAACGCGTTTTACAGAAACCGAACAGCTTTATGGATAACGACTTGCCATTTATTGCTGAATGCAATATACCAGAAGCTGTCATCCATGAAGTGTCACGTGATCTCCAGCTTCTAGAATGCCATTCAAACAGAAAGATATAAACGGTACAATGTCCTACCATGAGACAGGATGGCTCTTAACCCTGTCATAACGACTGATTCAGGACAACCTCTGTTTGAAACAACGTTAAATTCCAAAGAGTGAGTGAGTTGGGCTTTACGCCGCTTCTAGCACTATTCCAGCAATATCACGACGGGGGACACCAGAAATGGGCTTCACACATTGTACCCATGTGGGGAATCGAGCCCGGGCCTGCGGCGTGACGAACGAACACTTTAATCAGTACCCAACCGCCCCTAAATTCCAAAGATTATTCACCACGAAGTCATACAGACCAACGGTAGAGATGATAGTTGATATATCACATCTGTTCCACATAAACATTTCATTTGTTGCATGAACACGTATGCTTAAAACCCATAACCTATCTTTTTTCATGCAAGACAAAGGTGAAAGAGACACCCAAATAAACAAAATCAGAGTAAACAAAACTTTTTAATAGTAATTTGTTAATACATTGCACATGCACAATATGCGTCATTACCGTTTTAAAATAACTTGTCTGTTTACTTATTGCTCCTCCACAGTTTTAATGTCCATGGCCACTTTATCGTGTATTTACTGGCAATGGACTGGCAGTGGCCTGTCAGGGGACCTGAAGGAACCCACCTACTTGTAGGGGGTATCTATAAAGGGTAGAGAATAGCACGAGCACGGCTACTGGTAACGCAGTGTTGGATTCAAGGGGGCATCTCGCCTATGACACCACCTACACTGAACATGTCACAAACAACATAATCAGACTGGACCCAACGCTACAACTCAACAAACACTATTTTGGAACTGTCACCTCTGCATGGACACACAGGACTGAATAATCTGCAGGGTTCTCGCACCACCCACACTTCTGTGGTGCTACGTGCTGAACTTGTGTCAGAACAAAATATCCTTCAGGAGCCAGTCGATGTATTCGTGACCTACTCGTATCGACAGCTATTTATGACATGACTGTTTTTGTTGTGTTTTTGTAATTGCATGCATGGGCTATGTGGTTGAAACGTTTAGCGCCGCATCGTCAACATTTTCTTGGAGAGAGTACACAACGTTACTACTTCGTACCGAAATGCACGAGTAACTCACAATAGTGATCTCGTTGCATTTGCCATGCCCCAGCATATCGAGGTTACAGACATGTTTTCAATTCCAGGTTCCAAACTAACGCTTGTATCACTGTCGCTATGGATGGCGGCCACATCAAGAGTTGTGTCCCCATGTACTCCCTGAAGGATGTGGCGCATCACTGTGACCTGGAGTCTTGCTGGATAGTCGTATCTGATCTGGTATATGACGTTACCAATTTTATAAGAGAGGTAAAGTGCGCGTTCATTTCTAGTCTGGTGATGGTTTTATAAATCAAGCCGGGAGCACCGGTGTCTTTACCTGGCATCATCATGTCTGAACCTATTACTTTGGGATTGACATGATCCCTTATACTCAGTAACAAGTCTGAGTTAATTTTAAAAAAAATCAATTTAACCAAGCTCAATTATTTTACTATATAAATATGTTAAGTTCATTTCAATACTATCTGTTCCGGAGAACATAAAACCGTCTATGTCCTACTCGCATCTACACCTGACGTAAATACGTCTTAACGGGGATTGTTTATTCGTGTATTTCAGCATCCCGGCGGAGAAGACATCATTCTTGAACACGCAGGGACAGACGCTACAGTGGCCTTCGTGGACAAGGGTCACTCAAGGGACGCGTATGAGATGCTCCGAGATTACCTTGTCGGTCAGCTAGTAAAGGTCAGTCACCCAGTGACGTTTTCAGCCTATGTTTCAATCGTGTTGTACAGTTAGGTGATGCATGACGTGTGTCATGACGTTGAATCAGGGAGCTTATCTACTGTTGGCGTCTTCACGGGAATGGCCAGATACCCGCCGTACACATTAACAGCTCCCTAGCTTGGGACAGTTACGTAAAGCAATGGCGGATCCAAGATTTTAAAGAACGCTGGGTTGGGGAGGGGGTATCCATTTGGACATTTGTATGTTCATTATGGTTGGTGGGTGGGTTTGAAGAAGTAAAGGGGGAGAGGGGCAATTTTAAAAAGGTGTGTGTGTGTGTGTGTGTGTGTGTGTGTGTTCAGGGGGTTCGGACACACTGACCCCCCACTGGCTCCGCCAACGCAAAAAAAAATCTTCAATGTGGTCTTAAGTCATTTTCAAAGGGGGTCGAACCCCCTGAAACACACACCCCCTCTCTGGATCCGCCATTGAAGTTACCTCTTTAGCAATCTCAGATATATTTATGTCTATATGCTAGCAAGAACATTGATTGAGAGCCATTCATTGCGTGTAAAACAGTATCTACCTTCGTGTGTACGTACTTCTGATTGTGATAAGCAAGACGAAAGCTTACGTCATGTTTATAATTCCAGGAGGACCGACGCCCCCCGATACGACTTGCCGGAACCTTCTAGTACCAACGCCATGTATAAACTGAAACATACTACAGATCTCGGATACTCGGAATTCTTTTCTGATGTGGAAATCACATATAGTTGACATTAATAGTTCTGCCACAATGGTGACTATGACAATGATCTCGTGATGCGCACATAAAGATGTGGAAAGTTGCAGCACTCCGGGCTGCTGCAGGACGAACCTGTGGTTCCACAAAATACAGGGTACGTTCAGGAACTGGTTCTTTTGGCAGAACTATCGCTAACAGATGTGGCTTATACATGACATAATTATCCATAATTGTGGTGAAGGATTAGGCAGCTGGTTGATCCTGATTTCACAGTGTGCGAGTTTGCATGTTCTGAGATTGAGCGCTGTGTTTAATGCCATGTGTATATTGAAACTCTGTCTCTATTTATGAGTGAATGGGTGAGTGAATGAGGTTTAAACCCCCTTAACACAGTATTCCAGTCATATCACTACGGCGTGTCGGTTTCATGAACGAAGAAAGCCGGAGCCGTACACGTCTAAACACCATATCAGAGCGAATGTTGTGATTCGAATCCAGGATACGGGTTTCGGTAGGCTTTAGGACTTAAATATTCCGCGTTTATGCGAATGGACCACAAGCGCTCCCTTCCTTTTCATGTGACTAATCTCTAGTTACCGGAGAGGGATACATCACTAAAGGTAACGCGGTATATTTGGTCCTTCCAGGGTTAACTCGTGATGAGTACCCTGATAGAAATGAACACATGTATTTCCCGGACAAGGTGTGTCCGAGTCCGATTCCTAACAGGAGAGAAGTAAATGTTGTTTTGTTGACCTAGTCAACTGGGAAAGCGTCATTTCTTTCATCGTTTTGTTCTCAATTGTGAATTTCGGAATCAACTGACCTTGTCGGCACTTTCATACAAGTTACGTACTTATCCCGGTGAAAATTATTATTGCTGACTGTAGACAGGATGTTTGACAAGTGTTATCCGTGCGCTGTTACCATGGGCACAAGCATTCGGAACCAGATGACAGGTTGTGTAAGTGAATGGGTCACAGAGAAGGGTCACCACAACCCCACACCTGGAACGCCCTACATATTGTCTATGATTGCATGAACAGCCAACGAATAACTGTAAAAAATGTCAGCTATGAACAATTCTTAAATGCCTTTTGAAATACTTCTGGTCTTCCATACAAGTTTTTAAATAAGTTAAAAATTAAATGATAATTAAGTTATAAAGGACAGTGATACACGTGATACTTGAGTTCACGTCTGCCAACGAGTTGTGCTTAACCCGTGAAATAGGTTAACAGTAACTCAACAGTATTTACTGGGAGTCAGCACGGCAAGGAATTTCAAAAGAAGAATGTTCTCGTGCTATTTGTGCTCTCAATGTCTGTAGATGTTTTAGGTTTGATGTTACTGGCCAGGATTCACTTGACTGTAGTAAATGTGCGAGGATTGTTTGAGTCGTGTAACTGAGATTCCCTGGTCGCCTGTGACCGGTCTCACCCAGGGGCATGGAAGGTGTGTCACAACTAACAGGACGAGTGTAGGTAGGTGCAGATGTTGAGTCTCACGTGTTATCACTGACCTGGTTGTAGGCCCAGTCAGGGCTGACCTATTTACTTACCATGACGTACACAGACGAGTTAGAGTGGAGGTGACACAGGTTACATACCTCCATGTTGTTTGTTCCCTGCTGTCTATACACAGCCTTGTTGATAGTACACCTGTTTTTGCAATGGTTTCGATCGTTATACATGTGTGCATATATAGTATATACCTGTTCATTATGAATTATTTTTCTAAATAAAAAGGAAACTGTGTGAATATTGTTTTGTTTAATGTGCTTATGCTTTCGTTTTCACCACTTTGAAGAGTATTTCAGTTACATCCCAGTGGCAAGTTCATCTTGGAGGGAACTGATTCAAGTCTTGGAGCTTAGTACTTGGTGAAACATCTACAAATGATAGCAATTCTGGGATTCGAAACCACAATCATTGATTTCTGGTACACCTAAGGGAGGCAATTCTGCATCTGTGCCCCTATCTACCAAGCCAGGTCCAGAGACAATGTACCAACACACCTAACATTGTTCACACATCTAGGACAGCTCAAGACAAAGTATTCAGTTACATAGATATTCTTTAATGTTGAAGGTAAATATATTATGACAATATTTACAGATCATCAATGAATATGGATATTTTGAAATCTAGCACTGGAATGTGAAGGTGGGGAATGGTTGAGTGGGAGGCAACTACTGACATTGAACACTACTCACCAATCCAGTCATATTACTAGTGTTAATCCTCCAATGGTTAACCAATGGAATGACAGATTAACGTCAGTAATGTGAGAGCATCAGGAGTTAATTAACTTTTTTTTATAGGTATGTACACATAGCAAAACACCATTCTTGTCAATAATGACAAATCTACTCCATTGTAATTAATGTGACATAATGTCTATGCAACCACAAATTAAACTGTGTGGAATATCTGATAACAAATCCATACTAAAAGGCATACACAAACATTCAATGTCAATATAAATGAATTGGCAAATCTACATGAAGGGATTCACATAACTTCTCCTGAATATAAAACCAACTATTAACAGAAAAGACTCAAATAAGATCTGGGGAACCTCAGGTTTGAGATTCTTGCCAGGTAGAGCAATGGTAGAGTTTACAAGAGTTACTTTATTGACAGTGGTTCTTAATCTGCTCAGCAATCAACAACAGAAACTGGTTTGTGAATTTACTAAAGCCACAATCTAGACTCAGCAATCAACAACAGAAACTGGTTTGTGAATTTACTAAAGCCACAATCTAGAAATATTATGCAATATTCAAAGGAAAAGTGGAAACAGGTCATTTGATCACATGATCTTGTATAGATTTGAGCTTTTATCAAGCTGCTTGTGTTAATTTTCACTTGCCTTTCATTGGATAATTTTTATCTTGTTTAAAAACAGTTACAACTATTTTAAATGACACAGAAGATTTAAGAAATATGAAATCACTGAAACATGTATACCTACAATGTTTTCTTGCTCACTACACCATCTGTGGCAGTCACCTTGACAGTGACCTTGACTAGTTGAACAGGCGATGGCCCAATACTTAGCATACATGTGTGCAAAGAAATGTCCAATAAGATTCATGCTGTTTACCAAAGATCAAATGCCAATGATAAGCTAAAACATTAAAACTGAAATATTCACTAACAAGGAATTGCACATATCTAAAATATGTAATAGATACATGAAGAAAAGGTGTCAAGCAGCTGAAATATAATTACATTCATAACATGGCAGTCAAGACTTAATGACTTAACAGTCTGAGAGAAAGAGACCCAACTGCTGAAGTAATATGAATAATTCAAGCTTCATAAACAATGCAGGCACAAGTAAGTTTGTCCAACAAGTAAAACATTACAACAAAACACCAGCAATGACTGCAGCTCACATGATCATCCTGTGGAGGCTGAAGAGCTCGTACAGACTCTACGGAAAACAACCTAAACAAGAAGGAAAGGTCCTAGATATCCCCATCCCATCAACCATGGGCATAAAAAACACAGTTTCAATTCACTCATACTAAAAAGAATTCATTCTTGTGAGTACAGCTGACACTTTGATCATGACTAAATGAAATGATTCCCTATATTGTTTAATGCCTCTATAACTTCCAATGACAAGAATTTGTAGCAGCAGGTTTCAATAACATAAAGCTTTTCATTTGACAGCAATATTTAAACAGAGTAAATCATAAGCCATAACAATCTACCAAATCACAAACATTTCTTGAATTGCTGTATGATGTAATATTTGGTATGTACTAAACAATGCCACCATGAAGGCGAACAACGTCGCAATGACCTCCCAGTCTAACTGGAGACCAAACCAACACATATAGCTGGAATATTGCTGAGTGCGACGTTAAACAACAAAACCAGCTTAACCAACAGGGCTGTGGGATGTAGGATATCTAATGTTTTTACAAGGTTGCATCAACTACAGAAGAGTTCATGAGTTCATGCCATCTGTAGTCGTCTAAGAAATGCAAAACCTAAACATTCGAAACATTCTTGAACAGCAAAAGGCACCAGTAGGGCATATATCTGTTGAGCATACATAAATTCCCAAAGGAATATTTTTCTTCAAGCCAAGGAAATGTTAGAAATAAAATCTACAAAACAGCATTTCATTTCCTGGCGGATGTGTGTTACTGAACCAAAATATGACAAAACTTGGTTTGACCTGCATAATGAACTAATGCATTGTTGAAAGTAACATGTCCATATTTTCCCAGAACGTCCATTCATAAATATAGTATGGGTAATAACATCAGAAAGTATCACAAAGCTGCACATAAGGCTGCAGTTAAACTGCAGAAACATCAAATGTGATATGGAGGGAATCTGGTTTGTCAGCCAACATGTCTAACTCAGACTGTCTGTCGGCCTTGTTATTATGGTGCTTCCAGATCTTACATGACTTCATAAACCAATGTGTCCAGCAGACCGATTTGACAACAGTTCCATCAGAAAGTGTTAGTTCACTTCAATAAACCAACATGTTATTTCAGTGAAATCAAAATACATACGTACTTCATCCCTAAATCAATAATAAATATGGACATGATTTCTGGCCAATTTAACTGTTTCAACGGCATGTTGGTCAATGTTTTCTCAAGCTGTCCCAAAGCACTTACTGATAACTGGAAGAGGGAATGCTGAAAAAATGCAAAAGGGACACCACTCCAATCTTTTAAAACTGGTACTGACAATGTTTCTGTTAAGGAAACCATCTAACTAATCTGGCATCAGAAGAAAATAATTATATCTGTTTGTGATTTATTTGAGCATATTTATTAACATGCTAACAAACATTTAACGCTGACAAATTTGTCTTGAACTGGCAATAGCCCAGGATATGGTAGTCTCACTTCATTGTACATGCTGTATAGGAGATACAACTCTCAGGTGGGGTTCTTCAAGCCTTTTCCACAGGTCCCAGTGTATCAGTGTTGACAAAGCTACACCAGAGTCTACAAATCTCCTTTGTGGTGTTCCCCTGAGGTAAGTCTTTGGACCAGTGTTAATCAATCTGTACATCGGGTAACTCAGCAGCATTGGATTGGACACAGTACTTCAATACCAATAAGTGGATGACGATCAAATATACCATCATCCCTCACCATAACGGAGGTCTTGGGGTCCATGGATAACCCCTGTGTTATGAGACACCCGCATTACATGTGTACTTGTCACTTACTCACAGACAAGGAATGTATGACCTACTATCTGTTATGTGTGGAAGATTCTTTACCAGAGGAAATATTATTGTGCAGATGCCAAGTTTCGGACTTGAAACTGTTGATAGTAATGTCCCAGTATAGGACAGAAATACACAGCCTGTGTGGACCAAGAGTGTCATTACTTCCTGACTTACGTTACAAAAGAATCTGAAAATGTGCTGAAATTTATTCATGAATAACATGCACTCTGTCGTTCCTTTTTCATGCAAGTATCTTTAGCACACATGAAAGTGTATAATTTATATTAAAAGAACAACCAATGTTTGATTTTTTCTTGGCAATCTTCTAAAAGTGATATGGTGTTTGGACAGATGAGGAACAGACAGTCCCCAAGGAGCACCTGCTGTTACCGGTAATCAGTACACACTATCGACACATGGCTCAGTACAGATTTATACACATGCAAGAATGAACATCCCATGCACCAGATATATTCAAATATCTAAAGGTATTGCACAGAACATTAAAAATTGTAAGCTGTGGTCTGAAATAGGCATGTAACAGTAAACAGCAACACTATGTACACAGGAGGCAACTTGCAAGCTACAGTCATTATCAAGTATTGCTTGACAACAGCAACACAACTGGCTGCTCAGCAACCTCAACAGCATGTAAAAGCAGGCACCTAGTGGCTTACAGTCATTGTCAGTGATGCTTGACAACAGCAACAGCATGTACACAGCAGGCTGCTTGACATAAACAGCATGTACAAAGCTGGCACCTTGCAAGTTACAGTCATTGTCAGTAATGCTTGACAACAGCAACAGCATGTACACAGCTGACACCTTGACATCAACAGCATGTACAAAGCTGACACCTTGCGATTTAGTCATTGTCAGTAATGCTTGACAACAGCAACAGCATGTACAAAGCTGGCACCTTGCGAGTTACAGTCATTGTCAGTAATGCCTGACAACAGCAACAGCATGTACAAAGCTGGCACCTTGCGAGTTAGTCATTGTCAGTAATGCTTGACAACAGCAACAGCATGTACAAAGCTGGCTCCTTGTGAGTTAGTCATTGTCAGTAATGCTTGACAACAGCAACAGCATGTACAATGCTGGCACCTTGAGAGTTACAGTTATTGTCAGTGATGCTTGACAACATCAACAGCATGTACAAAGCTGACACCTTGAGAGTTACACTTATTGTCAGTAATAACTAACAACAGCAACAGCATGTACAAAGCTGACACCTTGCGAGTTACACTTATTGTCAGTAATAACTAACAACAGCAACAGCATGTACACAGCAGGCACCTAGTGAGTTACAGTTATTGTCAGTGATGCTTGACAACATCAACAGCATGTACAAAGCTGACACCTTGCAAGTTACACTTATTGTCAGTAATAACTAACAGCAACAGCATGTACAAAGCTGGCTCCTTGCAAGTTACAGTCATTGTCAGTAATGCTTGACAACAGCAACAGCATGTACAAAGCTGGCACCTTGTGAGTTAGTCATTGTCAGTAATGCTTGACAACAGCAACAGCATGTACAATGCTGGCACCTTGCGAGTTACAGTTATTGTCAGTGATGCTTGACAACATCAACAGCATGTACAAAGCTGATACCTTGCGAGTTACACTTATTGTCAGTAATAACTAACAACAGCAACAGCATGTACACAGCAGGCACATAGTGAGTTACAGTTATTGTCAGTGATGCGTGACAACAGCAACAGCATGTACAAAGCTGGCACCTTGCGAGTTACAGTCATTGTCAGTAATGCGTGACAACAGCAACAGCATGTACAAAGCTGACACCTTGCGAGTTACAGTCATTGTCAGTAATGCTTGATAACAGCAACAGCATGTACAAAGCTAACACCTTGCGAGTTAGTCATTGTCAGTAATGCTTGACAACAGCAACAGCATGTACAAAGCTGGCTCCTTGCGAGTTACAGTCATTGTCAGTAATGCTTGACAACAGCAACAGCATGTACAAAGCTGGCACCTTGCGAGTTAGTCATTGTCAGTAATGCTTGACAACAGCAACAGCATGTACAAAGCTGACACCTTGCGAGTTACAGTCATTGTCAGTAATGCTTGATAACAGCAACAGCATGTACAAAGCTGACACCTTGCGAGTTAGTCATTGTCAGTAATGCTTGACAACAGCAACAGCATGTACAAAGCTGGCTCCTTGGCGAAGTTACAGTCATTGTCAGTAATGCTTGACAACAGCAACAGCATGTACAAAGCTGGCACCTTGCGAGTTAGTCATTGTCAGTAATGCTTGACAACAGCAACAGCATGTACAAAGATGACACCTTGCGAGTTACAGTCATTGTCAGTAATGCTTGACAACAGCAACAGCATGTACAAAGCTGACACCTTGCGAGTTACAGTCATTGTCAGTAATGCTTGACAGCAGCAACAGCATGTACAATGCTAGCACCTTCAAGTGACAGTTATTGTCAGTGATGCTTGACAACATCAACAGCATGTACAAAGCTGACACCTTGCGAGTTACACTTATTTGTCAGTAATAACTAACAACAGCAACAGCATGTACACAGCAGGCACCTAGTGAGTTACAGTTATTGTCAGTGATGCTTGACAACAGCAACAGCATGTACAAAGCTGGCACCTTGCGAGTTACAGTCATTGTCAGTAATGCGTGACAACAGCAACAGCATGTACAAAGCTGACACCTTGCGAGTTAGTCATTGTCAGTAATGCTTGACAACAGCAACAGCATGTACAAAGCTGGCTCCTTGCGAGTTACAGTCATTGTCAGTAATGCTTGACAACAGCAACAGCATGTACAAAGCTGGCACCTTGCGAGTTAGTCATTGTCAGTAATGCTTGACAACAGCAACAGCATGTACAATGCTGGCAGCTTGCGAGTTACAGTTATTGTCAGTGATGCTTGACAACATCAACAGCATGTACAAAGCTGACACCTTGCGAGTTACACTTATTTGTCAGTAATAACTAACAACAGCAACAGCATGTACACAGCAGGCACCTAGTGAGTTACAGTTATTGTCAGTGATGCTTGACAACAGCAACAGCATGTACAAAGCTGGCACCTTGCGAGTTACAGTCATTGTCAGTAATGCGTGACAACAGCAACAGCATGTACAAAGCTGACACCTTGCGAGTTACAGTCATTGTCAGTAATGCTTGACAACAGCAACAGCATGTACATAGCAGGCACCTAGTGAGTTGCAGTCATTGTCAGTGAGCCTTGTCAGTATTGAATTTAATGACCCTCCGCGGGAAGGGCAATGTAAGTAATATGAAGAGGCCCCAGATGATGTATAACGTTATAACAGTAGTTTCCCGTGGCATGTGGCATCGCTTCACCTCATACTTGTCATTGCTGATAGTTGCCTGAAACAGATCACATCACAAATATTAGCAGACAGTCAACTCACTATCTTATACATCCTAGTGTTATGTGCAGCAGACAGTCAACTCACTATCTTATACATCCTAGTGTTATGTGCAGCAGACAGTCAACTCACTATCTTATACATCCTAGTGTTATGTGCAGCAGACAGTCAACTCACTATCTTATACATCCTAGTGTTATGTGCAGCAGACAGTCAACTCACTATCTTATACATCCTAGTGTTATGTGCAGCAGACAGTCAACTCACTATCTTATACATCCTAGTGTTATGTGCAGGTGTTCTTTTGTGATAATCAATGGCAGCAAATCACTGAAATGTGTTCTGTTCTCTTGGCCAGATTCCAAATTTCAGGTCATATATATGCAAAACATTATATCTAGTATGCTGAGATAATATGTACTCTTTGTTTGCTAATTAACACAGATGTCACAGCTGTCTGTAAATAATCATGTCAGGACCAGACAATCCACTGACTGATATTTTAGGAATAGATCAAAACAAGGTGGATATGATGATGTGCATCAACCAAGTCTGAGCTGCCTCAAGCAAACGAAAGATCAATTCCATAATTCCATCCCAGATCTTGACAGCTAGTCAGCACTGAGTTCCAATATGTAAAAATGTTCCTTAGGCTTGTACTCACTAGAAGAAATGATGGGTTGTTTTTATTCCTCCAATTGAAGGAGGGTATTGTCCACTCTGGGACACGGCCCTTGTGGACGCGGTAACAGCCATGGTGGGTGTGGGCACTGATAACTAGCCGTGGGTCAAGCAGGCTGAACATCTGGGCACAATGAATGAAAATAGTGACGAAAATAGAAGTGACGAGGTCAGTTTTGGATGTATCAGTCCAATGTTACAGAATAGTCTAAATAGCATATCACTGAGAGATTGCATAGGTTTCCATGTACTGTAGTGACATGACTTCAGTAGCTCAGAATCTACATGATATATTCCCTTCTCCTGACGAGGCTGAAATTTGCACTGGGTGAGAAATTACTTGAACTCCTGTAAAACACAAACATTTCATAAGAAAACAGGATAAAGGTATAGATCTGTGACCAGTGGAAAATAAACAAGAGTGACTGTCTTGATGACAATGATACAATGGTGAGATTCTGTGAAGAAGAAGATCTAGCGCCCATGCTTGCTGATCATTCTACAGTCTCCATGGTACAGATAGATAGATAACACAACACGTTACCTGTTCAGTAGCATCCTGAGACAAACAGTCCCACTTGGGTTTGAATGGTGTACCCTTCTCCTCAAGAGGAGCTGCATCAGACGTATCACAGTCTATGTCAGAAGTACGGAACATGGGGTAGTGCTGAAACAACACAATCAAAGTCTGTATGTGGTATGGTATATGTGGCATGGTGTGCCTGTATATAGAATACTGTGCTATTACGGTGTATACTACCTGCATACAGAATGTTGTGTGTAAAGACAGTCTATAACAGTGAGTGAGTGAGTGGGTGAGTGAGTGAGTTTTACGCCGCTTTTAGCAATATTCCAGCAATATCATGGCAGGGGACACCAAAAATAGGCTTCACACACTACCCATGTGGGTAATAGAACCCGGGTCTTCGGCGTGACGAACGAACGCTTTAACCACTGGGCTACCCCACCGCTCCCTGTAGCTGTCACATTAAACAACAGGCAAGCAAGCAAACAGAATGTTGCATATACATATATATATATATATGCGCGCGTCCATAAACAACAGATTAAGGACCCCAAAACAAGGTGCAGCCCCTTAAGCGCTCACATCGACAAATGCACAGCAGGAAAGGAAAATAAATTTAAATTTTTCCCTTTCTATAAAATGAATACTGCTGATGCAATGCAGTGTTAAGTTGAACAAAAACCTTTTGATTAAAGAATTGTGTCCATCGTTGAATAAATAACGCAATGTGTTTGAATTATACTTGTTTTCATTGTGCTACTACTACTGTCAATTTAAAGCTGCCAATGTGATGTCATGGCAACGCCGCATCACAACATCTGTACACAGTTGCAATGTGATGTCATGACAAAGTGACGTCATAATACAGTACAACCAGAAATTATTGAGAATTTAAAGATTGTAAAGTTTTTATTTTTTTCACTCATTACTCACGCATTAAATGTGAAAATTAGCAGAACATAACTCCAGATTCAAAGACAGGTGAACAGTTAGTATTTTGTCAAGTCACCATGGGCAGCAATGCAGGCTTTAACGCGGCGGGGCATACTACTGATCAAAGAAGTAAGAAAGTCGTGGTCCATGCTGTCCCAATATCGGACCACCTCTTCTTTCATTTCAGCAATATGTCAGACTTTTCTTATTGACACTTTCCTTCATAAGTCCCCAAACATTTTTTACTTGATTTAGGTCAGGGCTATAGCTTGACCATTCTAATTATGTCATATTTTGGGTCCGAAACCAGGCCTGTGAATGCTTTGAACGATGTTTTGGATCGTTGTCCTGCTGGAAAATCCAAAACTTTCCATAGAACACTTGAGCAGATGGAAGTAAATGTCCCTCGAGAATATCTGTGTACCGCTCACTGTTCATATTCCCTTCAAATACACAGAGGGGCGTTGCCCCTAACACATATATGCCACCCCACACGTTAAATTTTGGACTGTACTTTGGGTGCTGATACAAAGGTTTTTCAGTTTGTTTGGTCCAGAATTTCAGTGTAATAGGAAACAACCACACAGAACTTTCATCTGAGAAAATCACATTGTCCGAGTTAAAATTTCTATGCTGTAAGCACCAGTTCAACCTTCACTCCTTTTGTTCAGGTTTCATGGTCGGTGATGGAATTCCCCGACTTTTCTGCCAACCCATTGCATACAGCTCAGTTCTAATTGTCTCCTTACAGACAGCCACAGTTCCTCTATCAATCATATCCAGCCTTAAGTTTTCTAAACTCCTTCGTTTGTTTTTAGAAACAAGAATACCAAGCCGCCTCCTGTCACCGATTCTGGGCCTAACCTACGCCTCCCTGGTGCTCAATGCCATATCCATTTGCAATATTTTTCAAAACATGATAAACAGTGGACAAAGGGATGCCTGTTCTACTTGAAATCACTTTAGCTGATCTGATGTCCTTGTTATAATACTCTAAAATCAACTTCCTCTTCTCTAAATCATCCATACTGAGGATCACTGAAAATGTTGTCTGCTAGCAAGTAAACAAAGGGGGATAACTCTTCACAAACTAATGAAAAAGGATTAACCGAGTTGTCTCTCCTGAATGAAACCAAGCACTTGATAGCTGGTCAAGGTTGTTTATACTAGAAATCCAATTAAACATATTCCTAAAATTCTCAATAATTTCTGGTCATACTATATGATCTGTTTAACTGTTTAATCACATCTCCCTGAAGATAAAAGTGAAACATATTGAAGAAGATCTGTGTTGTGTAATTATTTCAGAAATCTCTTGTACATATATATATATACATGTATATGTATGTGGTATGCTCTGTATATATACACATTATAAGTTGTATGCTTCTCTCGAGGGTAATACGGTCTGATGTATGCCTCTTTGTAGCAGAGCCTGTAGGCGAGGGATGATACTGCTACAAAAAGGCGTACATCAGACCATATTAACGGAGGGAGAAGTATACAACGTATTTATCTTACCGCTATGTTAAATGTACAAGATATCATTTTATTTTATTTTGAAGATCGATAAGCTCCCTACCTACCGTTAATTGTGTTTAAGTTGAGTGTGCAAACGATTTATAAAAAAGTTTAAATAAACCAAAGTCAGTCAAATAAACGTGTACATAGTGAACTCAAAAACAGCTAATGGAACGGTTTTCGAAGTCTATGCACTGCATGCTTTATATTATGATGTCATACAATTGCTAGCGATACAGCTTCTCGGCAGAGAGTTTGGTGGTTACCGTGGCAACGGGTAATATTTTTTTCAGTTGACACGGAAACTTATTAAAGCATCACTGACCAATGAACACATAAAGGTAAGATAATGCTTCATAGCTCACTGTACATACCCAAAAAAATGCTTGGCAAATTATATGATTTGACAGTGGAAGATGCTCATCTAACGGAGACAATTCCTTTGTGATCAATGGCTTTGAAACTCACTGGTTGCATCTACTGGCAGGGAGAAGTTAAAACAAGACATTGATGAAACGTGTTGGAGTCTTATGAACCTCCAACTAACACCTGCTCGTACAGAGTGAGTGAGTTTAGCTTTACACTGCTTTTAGCAATAAACACTGACTCCAGACATCACAACCAGTTCTAACCTGCAGTAAAATAGGCTTGGTGTAGGTGAACTGCTCCCACTGGTGACACACATTGTGGCTGCTGGAAGACTTTAATGGATCCTGGAAAAATGAAAACATTTGTCATGACTTGTCTTTCATTGGTCATGTCTTGCCTTTCATCGGTCATGTCTTGCCTTTCATCGGTCATGTCTTGCCTTTCATTGGTCATGTCTTGCCTTTCATCTGTCATGTCTTGTCTTTCAATGGGCATGTCTTGCCTTTCATTGGTCATGACTTGTCTTTCATCTGTCATGTCTTGCCTTTCATTGGTCTGTCATGTCTTGCCTTTCATTGGTCATGTATTGCCTTTCATTGGTCATGTCTTGCCTTTCATTGGTCATGTCTTGTCTTTCATCTGTTTTGTCTTGTCTTTCATTGATCATGTCTTGCCTTTCATTGGTCAGGCTTGCTTTTCATTTTGGTCATGTCTTGCCTTTCATTGGTCATGTATTGCCTTTCATTGGTCAGGCTTGCTTTTCATTGGTCATGTCTTGCCTTTCATTGGTCATGTCTTGCTTTTCATTGGTCATGTTTTGCCTTTCATTGGTCATGACTTGTCTTTCATTGGTCATGTCTTGCCTTTTATTAGTCATGTCTTGTCTTTCAATGGGCATGTCTTGCCTTTCATTGGTCATGCCTTTCCTTTCATTGGTCATGTATTGTCTTTCATCTGTCATGTTTTGCCTTTCATTGGTCATGTCTTGCCTTTCATTGGTCATGTCTTGTCTTTCATTGGTCATGTCTTGCCTTTCATTGATCATGTCTTGCCTTTCATTGGTCATGTCTTGCTTGCTTTTCATTTTCATTATGTCATGTCTTGCCTTTCATTGGTCAGGCTTGCCTTTCATTGGTCATGTCTTGCCTTTCATTGGTCAGGCTTGCTTTTCATTGGTCATGTCTTGCCTTTCATTGATCATGTCTTGCCTTTCATTGGTCATGTCTTGCCTTTCATTGATCATGTCTTGCCTTTCATTGGTCAGGCTTGCCTTTCATTGGTCATGTCTTGCCTTTCATTGGTCAGGCTTGCTTTTCATTGGTCATGTCTTGCCTTTCATTGGTCATGTCTTGCCTTTCATTGGTCATGTCTTGCCTTTCATTGGTCATGTCTTGCCTTTCATTGGTCATGTCTTCTCTTCATTTGTTATGTCTTGCCTTTCATTGGTCATGTCTTGCCTTTCATTGGTCATGTCTTGTCTTTCATCTGTTTTGTCTTGTATTTCATTTGTCAGTCTTGCATTGTGCTGTAATACATTACCTGAGCACATCTAACCTGGTGATGGACATAAAAAGAGCACATCTAGCCTGTTGAGCCTGTTGAAGGACATTACCACATCTAGCCTGCACATCTAAGCTGTTGAGAAACTTGTTGCAATTGGGAGACAGCATCCTGGCACAGAGAGCACCCATCTCCTTCCAGAGTCATGCTGTTGACTAGTACAAAAATATTGTCTCTGATGTGCAACATCTTCACAGAGGGTGCATTAAATGCTTTTTCAAATCTTCTTTCCTTGTGTGGCGTCATCCTTAAATGAAACCAGGAGCGTATCAATATGAAACATATATATCTGTGAATTGAATATCACTACATTTGACACCTGTAAAATTGAAAATACTGTTTCTTTTCTTGAAATTGGTGATGTTTCTTTGTTTATGGCCCCTTCACTAACTATACATGTGCTGAACAATCTTAAACGTTCAGTGGTAGTATGAGAACTACAGTGGAAACCTGATAAGTAAAATTTCAAGGGACTCGCCAAAATTGTTTACTTATCAGGTATTTTACTTATCCAAACTGATAAAAACCTGCAAATGACAACCATATGCATGTATATGTATGCATATGTAACAATGGACCACTTATCAGGGCTGGCCTCCAGCTGTCAGTGTATTGTCAACTGCATGACACCAGTGAGCTGTACGTAGGATGTTTGTTTAGCTGGAGACTGACACGTGCCCCTCACGTCGGATTATGTGGTAATCACTAATTTAGTTATCCACTCTCTTTTGTTATGTAATTTACTTCCAGGGACCGTGAGAAGACATTTAGTTAAGCGGTATTGTTTACTTATCCGAGTTTAGTGAACCAGCCTCTAATAGTGATAATTAATGAAGAAATTTGCCGGGACCAAAGAAAAGTGTTTACTTATCAGGTCTGTTTAGTTAAGCGGTCTTTACTTAGGCGGTTTCCACTGTACTTGTAAGATTTGAAAGCAGCATTAGTTGAGACTGGTTGTTGGAAATAACATAAGAGCTGATAAATAACATGAGCTTGCAGTATTTCATTGATGTTACCAGAGTCTTATGTGCCTTGTGTATTGACGTAGAAGTTTTCATGGCATTTTTCTTATTATCTTTCATCATGTCAACTCATATTGCACTTGGAGATTAAACAAATGATGCTGCTCTCAACTAACAATAACAACACAAAAAAGTATAAGTTAAAGGTATTTTGCTGGAAACAACTGTTTGATCAATGAAGGTGTAACAGGGGAACATGGCACAAGCTGTTGCAGTGCACATTGAGTTGGGAACCATACCAGAAGCGTGAAGTTGGACCATCACTATAACCATTTCAGAAGTGGAGTTACCACAAACAGATTGCCATGTCACATTGTAGCCTACAGAGTTAGAAACTGGCACATGCCTTCAACCACCAAACTTCTGCAGCTTTGGACAAAAAACAAATCACTCCCAGGACTTCAGTCAAAATGTTTTCTATAAGCTACACTCACGCATAATGAAATCCAATGTCGTGATTCCCAACCAGAACATACATGTCTGTATTTTGGTTTGTGGAAAACATTTTTTGGAATCTCTTGACATGTCTTTGGAACTCTGAGTCTGAACACCACTTTCCTTCATCCAGCAGGTCACCTAAGAAAGGAAGGATTCTGGTAAACAGTATGACAGCTGTCAGAAAGCAACAGATAGGACAATATCCCAGCTTACAAAACTGAGACCAAATCTGCAGAAACAAGTGTGAGAGTGAGTGAGAGTGAATTGAATCTGAAAATGTGTGTGGTCCCTGCTCACACTAAACTTCACAATAATTTTTATGAAATGACTGTTAATGCGATGGCATGACTTTGGGAGGTGGACATATAAACTATCTATAAAAACAAACAACTCTCAATTCAACAGAATCTAAATTCCTTCTGAAGTGTTGACAGGTTAAGGCACTAACGACATTCTGTCTGAGAGAATGGCCTTGACCCAGGCTGATTAACAAGCTACACACAAAGATCTGATGCTGAGTATTATTACCTAGAACAAAAACCACATCTGGACTGTGAATCAACATACTGGTTTGAAATGCTTGTTCCATTTGCCATTCTCTGAAAATAAGAGAAAAATCAGAAAACATGAAACATGGTTCCAGGCTGCAGATAGAAACTAAAACATTTTTCTCATGTAACTCCCTTCAACATATGTTTAGTTACTAAACTATGCATGGTTCTTGTGCTTTGTAATTATGAAAATAAAACTTTTTTATCTGTTATATCTGTTACGATTGATTCAGAATAAATTCATGAGTGACTACCAGCAATGACTAGTAAGTATATCACTAAGTTTAGATGAAGTTTGCTATTGCCTCCCACAGGGTCTTTACGGCCAGTTATGTCTTCAAGGCAGGCTGTATTGAAGGGAGAACCATCATCAACAAAATAACAAGTAACAGCAAATATTTGTATACTACAGGTCTTGTGTTGCATGTCAGTAATGTAACAATGTCTGCCTATACTGTAATCATCAACAACCTCATATTCATTTCTATAACGGCTTCTGTACACCAGTGAGTAAACAGTGAGTAAGTCAGTTGCAGGGCCCCTGTGCAACCAGGAAACTCAAGTGCATATTTTCAACACAAACTGAGCAGCTAACAGCTGCATGACTGTTGAGGTGGCACAAAGCAGATCATACACACTCAACACTGAACACCAACTTTATTCGTGCAAACAGTATACAAAACTCAACGTACCTTCTCAACCTGTCAAACCAGTGTGCATGTGGTCCCATCACATGAGTGTCTGCTATCACCATAACTCGTAGAGGGTGGAACTTTGGAGGAAGTGTCCTGTCAAACATTTCATTGTTCACCTGAGGCCAGGTGCACTGGAACAACACCACGTAGTAGTGCAGAAACTCACAGTAAAATAGTAACAAGCCAACAAAAATGATAGTCCTGAACAGTCGATACGATCTGAAGTACAGACAGAAGTTTCCAGGGAACTGACAGAACCATCCCATGATGTGGATGAGACATTCGCCTAGAGGGCTAAACATGAGGCCTGATGTTCAGTTGTCTCCCTTGGAACATCAGCCTCACTGTACCTGGTAGCAGCTTGTCTCAATCACTGATGTAAACTAGCTGCCTCTGAAAATGAAAGACAACTGACATACATTCTGACACATTAAAACATACTGTATATGCTGCAATAAGCAGAGTGGGAGAGAAAGGGAATTACATCTGTTTTCTGAGATCAAGCATAAGTGAACAAACTTTGCTCAAACATTGATGAACAATAAACTCTAAGAACACCTGATGGATACTGCCGTCTAGGATACAGTTTGGTACTTGGTCCATGCCCAAACAATCGGATTATTATTACCCCGGATAACCCAAGCAGCCTGTTAGGCGAGAAGGTTATAGTCAAATGACTTTATCCCACCAGGTACCCATTTTCTGCTGGGTGAACACAGAACAGAGGCAGTTTTAAACAAACTCACTTGCCTAAGGTGAGACCACATGTATCACATGTGATTTGTTGTAGGGCATGACTGAAGTCCTTGAAACTCTCAGGAGTCAAGCTGCCAAACATGGTCACACATCCAAGGACCCTCTACACCCATGGTTGCTTGACTTCACTTGATTTGAGACCTGAGCTCTATGCACAGGACCACGTATCCTTGTGTATTGGGTTTTCGGTCATGTAAGGATTGTCGACCAACGTAATATAAAGTGCATAAATAAATGGATAATAAACAAACCTACCTCGTTTGTTTGTTATTTATTTATGATATTCAAATATCTGACGGATTAACCTCGTGTTTCACCCGCACAGCAGGCCTCAGAGTTTGCTACGCAAAGATTGTGAATGCGGAAGTGACGTCATCTGTTTTCGTTCACTTCATTGGTTCTCCGTAAAACAGAAATCTAATAGCAGTATTCGTGCTATGCTGATATTTTTATAATATAAAGTTGATAAACATCCAATCCAAAAGAATATTTCTAATTGTTTCAATAATAATTATTAGAAACTATGGTTGTAATAATTTCATGTCAAAGTTAATCATGATAAGACTTTGTTAGTTACATCACATGTCCAGGCATGTTTCACTCTTCCGGTTCGCGCTGACAAGGGCACCAAAACTCATCAGAAGATCTCACTACACATACGGAGATGCACAGCTTGAGATGGACCCAATGACAGCATGCAGGATGAGTACACTGGGCCCATGACACAGAAATATTCATTGCAGTTTCGAAAATTGAATGAGTATTTTGGAAAATCGTAATAAGAGATGACCCTATCCAGTTTCCATATATATTTTTTACGACGGCAACGCCATGTGATAATGATATGTCATACCATAAACAAGCAGACGACGCTATACTGAAAAGGTGGAGCTGACGATATTTTAGATAGAGCATTTTGATTACATGAAAATTTATGCATTAGTAAACTCGGTTCTAAAACGTACCATTTACATGTGTTTGCAATCATGTACCTTACTAAATTTCACAAGAAGCATTTTGTTAGTCAGAGCTGAAGCAGTCGACCTCTTGCTAAAAAAACCCTGTCTGGTGACGTAATATCTCGCTAATAACCGCGAGAAAAGTGAACACGCAAACGGCTGACTGAAAACTGATGTTGAACGAAAACAGATGACTCGAGGATACCATAGTATTCATAGTAAATTACTCACAGAAATAGAAATAAAATGTTTTTTTCGGTTTATTTCATAGTTTGGAACACAAATAAAGTTTGATTGTTAAATATTCTATGACTATCATTTTTCCACTCTTTTGTTTTTAACACTTCTTGTAAAAACATCCGAAACATATGAGTTTACAGGAGAGCAAATTGTTTCATTTTCACCTCTTGAAATTTCATCAACGTCAAAATGTACATTTCTGATGCAAGCTATAAGTATGCAAATAAGATGTACTCTCCATAGGTTCACCTTTCCTTTATCCCAATTGATATGTAAAATAATTGATGTAGGGATTTTCTCAGTACATTTTTTATGCCTGTACTCTTCTTGAAAGTTTACTATTTTTACGAGTTCATTCACAGCTTAATGATTGTCAATTACACAATTGCTATGGCAACACATATGCAAATGCATCTTCCTGTCTAAACAGTGCTGCAGGTACCTTATTACCAGCCATTGTTGATTGTGAACTTAAGTTAAAACATATGTTTCTAAATTTGTTAATAATGTGCAATTTTAAAAAAAATATATACCTGTAAAATGGTATTTTGGATGATGATTAGTGGACCAAATTAAAAGGCCTAGTTGGGAAAAAATAGTTATTTCAATATTGTTGAAACTACCTATTCTAATTAAGTAATAAACAAATAAACGCCCCAAACCATTTTATTTCTATTTCCATGAGTTATAATTCAGTCCAGGACCCGTTAACCCCATGTAGACCCGATTGCAACTGGAAAAGAGCACCCGAGGTCTATGAATCAAGAACCACAGTTGACAACCTCAACTTACCCAAGCTGCCTGCATTGTTACCAAATTTTGGCAATATAAACAACTGTGTCCAAGGAGCAAAGTGCGCGCGAAAACTGGGGGAATGTTACGAGACGTTATGATTTACCTGTAACTGGATTATACACGAGATGCTTTCAAATTACAAGGGAGATACAAAATCGCAAATCTTGGTATCTTCAAGAAGACATTCTTCTATACTCTTTTCAACTAGAAGTCAAGACGCATACACCATATCAACTTCCAAGACGTCCACCACAATCTGTTCGCCAGGGCGACGCCATGTTTTACATCACGCGTGACTATCCGTAGTTTTGGACAAGTTCATTATTCACCGGGGAGAACATGAAAATATTTACAGTTACGATGGATTTACTCGTAGTATTGTCAGTTCTTGAAAAATACAAGTGCTTCAAAATATAATAAGTTGGTTCGCTCTTTTCCCGAAAAATGCCATGAATCTATTCCTGTACAGTGTACGTGATGATCTGGACTCTGGTGACTATTGCACAAAATAATAGTGTCGTCATTTATAAACAAGGTAAACGAGATGTTGTCAAGTGAACTTCAAGCTGTCAGCAAGATACAGCTGCCCATGGACTTGTTAAGTTACGAAACTGAAACCATTGCATATCCTTTCCTACGTTATTTAAGTTGTCACTTGCCAGTTTCCATCATGAGAAGATAACAGGTGTTTCCTAAAAGTCAGTTTGCAAACCATGGTTACCGTATAAAACCAATTAAATAGGTTCTGGCTAGCGAACAGTTATCGCCAATATACACCGGACAGTATCACACGTGCGCAGTTCTGGTCAATTACAATTCCGTCCTTGGATAAGTTAGCAAAATTCAAGCAAATTCTAGCATAATTCAAGTAACAAATCGTTTTTTCTCCACGGTATTTGACAATAAAGGACAGAAAAAGAAAATTCTTCACGGCAAGTAACATAAGAGAATAATTAAAGATAAAGTTATGAACCCTATCAAAAAAATTAACTTTAGGGACCGTTCATAATGTATTGCTAGGGGGAGTGATGGGGATTTTTATGGAGAAGCAAGTACAATGTGAATGGACCCACCCCCACCCCACCCCTAAAATTTATGTACAAAGTAAGTGAAGCCCCCTGCATGTCATGTATCCCAACACGAGCTGAATTCGACGTTCTGGTGATTTCGACAATTGCATTGCTCTCGCTATATCTGGGTGAGTACGTGTGCGATCGGAGTGCACAAACAGTTTCACTGGTAGGGCGGGTGCCCAGTCGCTGTCGTGAGAAGTTTTATTGACAACGGAAATCAGGAAGTAAAGTTATATAAAAAGCAAACAAACATCAATATTATTTACCCGAGATCGTTAATACCACTTTAGATGCAAAATCAGTTGCCTTTATAACAAAAATAGCAAGCGAAAATTCAGTAAGATCAGTCGTCTGCTGGTGACAGGCAATATATAAATAAGAAGCCATGTGGTCACAACACTCCCTCCCAGTGCGGAGCAAAAAGTATGGCTCATCATCGAAAACCCATACAAAATACCCGGATGTTACGAGCGGCCACTGTTTCGCCGATACGATGTGATCAACGCTATTTTTGTAGGAAACACTTGATATTTTTGTGTGAAATAGATGAATATATCCTTTATCACTCGAGGTTAGTAAAATTAAAACTTTAAATGATATTACATATAAAAATTACGTTTTTGTCTTACATCGTCGAAAACCCCTGACACCGGGATACAAATCAATGACCCCTCCTCCCATTCCCATAATTTTTAAGCATAATTTTAAATATTTTTATGTACAAAATTGCTGACCCCCCAACCAGTATATGTGTACAAAATTGCTGACCCCCCTATCTCCCAGAACAAAATGGGTGACCCCCCTTAAAATCATCATCTATTCCCCCACCACACCCCACCCCACACCACACCCCAAGCCACAAATTAAGAACGGTCCATGTCACATGATCTATATAATAGCAAGTTCATGTTCACAAGTCATTAATTGTTTCATTCCCTGTCAATCTACTGTAAAAGAAACACTCAAATAGTCACACAATCTATTATTCCAGGTTATTGTACGGTATAAATATATATATTATTTCACGAATGGGCATGATAAATTCTGAATGGCAATAACTGTTACAGTTAGTTGTGAGAAAACATCTATTTATACTGCCATGATTCCCTTCCACCGCGTTATATAAAAACCATGACGGGTCAGAAAATCGATAAACTAAGCCCCAGTTTACTATCCAGCCCCCCTACTACTAGAGTACTAGTATATAATATGTGCAAGGGGGCTGGATAGTAAACCGGGGCTTTGTTAATCGAGTTTCAGACCCGCAGTGGGGGCCTATGGGAACGGCTAGGGACACTTCAAAATGTGATAATGAGTTAAATTCAGAGATCAAGCAGTAGAAGTCAAAGTTATTTCAAATAATGATCAAACGCCTTTTTAATAAAATATACCATGTAATTATATGGTCTTATTATTATGTTTTTATTTGTTTAATACACATATAGTTTACCATTACTATTGACTTGCATACCAGCATCTCAAAATCAAACATAAACTGTAGACATAGCCATGCACACACCAAACACACCCCAAACAAACCCAACTCCTGCTTGATCATTGACTAAGACAAACAAGCACCTGTCACGTAAATTACAGTTGTCAACATTGACTGACTTTACAGAATAATAATCGTAAGTCAGTTATTCATTTGCTCAATAGCCAAAGAAAATCCATTATCCTTCATGATATAATGTCTGTCAATATGTGACATCAAACCAGTGGAAATGTGTACTTTGCAATAAGAAAAGTATTTTGACATCAGTAAATTTGTGAACATGTATTGTGAAAACTCTTGTTGGCATAATAAACAACGTATTTGGCTTGTACACTCTGTATGATTTCGACAGTTTAGTAAATCTTGATTACAATATTGTATGCGTCCTCAAAAGAAATGATCTCTTCATTGACTAATGACTGTTGTGCCTATTCATGTTTCAGTCATGTGAGGTGTTTGTTGTTTAACGACATATTCGGTAATATTCTGTCTATCTGACAGCTGTGTATAAATATTCTGGACCAGTCGATCCAGTGACTGACATCACAAGCAGAGATGTATGCTACTGAGCGAGTGTAACCACCCAATACAATTAGTTGCCTCCAACAACAATGGTTGGTGGAGACCAAGTCTAACCCTGATCTTCATGCATGGAGTCTATTCATGACCAAATCTAATACGCGCTTCTACAGATAAAATAATATACCTTAAATTCACATTAAATGTATTCAGTGTAAGACAGACAAATGGTCTCCTAGTTTGAGATAAATTCAAATAATTTGTTGGCTAAGGAAACAGAGCACTGAGGAAAAGTGTACTCTATCTTGGAAGAAAAAAACAGCATTTTCCTAGAACATTATATGATTTTTTAATGCAGATGATACTTAGAACTGTTCCGCTTTTCCATTCTTAATGAATCGATAAAGATATCTGCATAATTATGAACATGAATTATGCTAAATGTTAATTAGAATATATATGATGAGCAATATTTGTATTGAATCTAGTGAATTACATAATCTTTGAACCATTTCTTATTGTAATTATTTTAAAAATTCTATTATTTCATGGTGTTTTTCTTTTATTTCGTGAGTTTTGTAAACAGGATGTTTGAAGATTTTCTTTGATATTTGGTGACATATTATCTGAGGCAGAACCACATGAACACGTTGGAGTACTTAATACACATCACATGTGTGTGCCCTACTTTCTGTCATCCTGTTCGCCACACATGATATGTTGATTTATTGTGTAATTGATTTTGAAGAATTGTGACCCACATTATTCTTGCAGTGTTGACAAGAAATCAATTGGTTTTCTTAGGGTTCGTTGTAATTGAAAAGATCGAAGAGCGTAATTTAATTACCCGAGTGATGTACATTGGGATTTTAGCAATATGGACATCCAGTTTAACAGTACATTTCAATGTACGATGGAGGACAAGTATTGATTAGACCCAAACCTAGCATTTTCTGCTCTCACACAGAATACAGTTTTTAGTGAGGTCTGGTAAAGCTTATTGGATAAAAGGCAACAGAGATTGCCATTAGAGTACTGGAAGTAGATTGATGTAGAGTTCTGCTGCTGGGAAGTTACGTGAAGTCAACACCTGGAATGATTTACTGTTTTTCTTTTACCCAGAGTTTCGACAGAGATTGATGAGGCTGACTTCATATTTACATATTTATGAACGATCATGAGGAATAAAATGTCAGAGGTAAGTATATCTATTTACTGCAGACAGAAACATAACATTGATTTGCAGTTGCAGTGACTCACGAAGGTGGTTGTGACAGAGACTTTTTGTACAATATATACATATGTTGGGGCATGCATGTATAATACATAACATGACAGTATTTATTGAGAAGGAGATGTGAAATAGTTCCTGAAAAAGGTGCTGTGATCAATAAGGACATAATTAGCTGATGATGTGGAGATAAGGTAAACAGACGAAGATCAATGAGGCGAATTGTGGAGAATTAACATCTGCATCATTGTATTAACGATGCTGTCAACCAGGGAAATATCTTCACTCTTGCTTAAAAATATCACACATTGATTTTCGGGATAAACGTTTAAAGTTTGTTTCAGTTTTCTCATAACTTTGTGCTCAACGGAGAGTGTGAGCATTGAGCTCATGATGGTGCATACAATGTTCAAGTCCAATGTTTGTATGAAAGACACACAACAAAGTCAACAATTATTTATTTATTTTAACTATGCCTCTTTAACAAATTGTTTATCTTTTCACAACCTCTTCTTTAATTTGTCATGCTTTGAGCTCTGTGGAACTGAAAGGCAGACCCTATCATGGCACATTTGTTGTCTTCAGTCTGTCATGCTTTGAGCTCCCTTGCACTGAAAGGCAGAACATATCATGGCACATTTGTTGTTGTCTTCAATCTGTCATGCTTTGAGCTTTCCTACACTGGAAGTGCATAACAAAGTAAAGAAAAGGGACCAAGACTTGTTTTTGAAATTTTTATGTCTGAAGGCATGAGGGGAAACATCCAGCAAATCTGTCTTGTTTTATAATACGCCATACCTTTAGGGGTTCTGTTATGATCATGATAATATTCCCCTTCTCTATAGCGGGCTAAGACAAAGAGAATAAATTCCTCAGAATCAAATGTACATCACACAGTTAGGGATAACCCCTCCAAACTGGTTTAAAACTTAACCCCTCTAAAGGTGGGGTTATGACCTTATAACTATATGACCCAGTTAGCCTCCCTCCGGTATGCAAACCAGCCAAACTGCCCTGCTCTGAGGGAAGGCACAGAACCCGTCCACACCACACTTCATAAGTCATTGATGACCCACACTTAGGCTCACAGGATATATGATAT